CCCTCAATGCAACGCAGTCCCAGCGTTCACCGGATCCACTCCGCCAGTAAGCCCTCCAGCAGCCACGGCCGCCATTTTGTCGGCAACCTTTGACCTTCCGGCAGTTGAAAGGTCAAGTCTGATTTTGATTTTTTTTTTAAAGAAAACCTTATCATTTCTAATTCCGTCTCGGCCTCGGGAGAATATAAGCGAGACAGAAAAAAACGGAGGTAGGGGAATCAAAATTATACTGATAAGCGTTTCGGCCAGAATGCGCATGCGCTTCTCGACCGTAACAGCACAAAGCGGAGGGTGAGCAGGACCTCAGGAAGCGCATGCGCAGCTAGTGAGCTACTGGCAGCTTGGCAAGAGACAATATGCTTTGTAAGGTCAGGCTGTAGGCGCTATCTCACCCCTCCCCCTGGCAATTGTCTTCTGATTGGCTGTGCCCCAATGGATGCCATTGGACAGGGTGGGCATCATCTGTGTTAGGGTGTTGCCTATTTCTCACCGTCCGAGTAAGGCTGGTGAATATATTAGGCAAAAACGTTTTCAGTGGAGATTTTTTAACCTTTCTTACTAAGTGTGGTTTTATTTGGGGAAGAGTTATGCTTTGGATTTTGTTGTTGTTGGGGGTTGGTGGTTTTTTGAGGTTTTATTTGCAAAAAGTGTTGGCCTTGCGGGGAAAAATTAAATGACCCCTGGAGACGTGAAAAAACTAATATTTGGAAGTACTGCCGCAGTGCCTCGTGGGAGTTGTAGTTCTGCCTTCTCACCTGCTGTTCTGTGGAGATGCATCTTCCATGGTGCGCAGCCCTCCCTCTCCAAGGGAGGAGGCTCTGTTATATCATGAAAGAGGTAGTTTGACCAGGTACCTCACTTATTGAAAATGAAGCACCAAACTGAAATGTTTTGGATTTTAGCTGGAATGTTTGTTCCTGTATTTCTGCTAAATTATCAATAGTCTATTGAAGATTTAGATGAAAACAATTTTTGGGTTTGTTGCGATTTTTCCATTGGGGAAGTGGGTAACCCCTCCCAACCCTACCCCCTTCCAAGCTCTAATTGTAAGATGTGGTAAAATTGCAATAGTGGGCAACTCTTTTATACTGCCCTACAAGGAGCCTGAGGGAAACGAATCCTGTAGCAAAACTTGGTTCCTAATACTTTTGGCCAAACACTAACCTTAATTCGCAGAGCGGACATGCAGCAGGATGCCATGCAGCAGTATGCCGGAGCCCAGCTGCCCCCACCCCCTGAAAGTCGCAGAGTGCCCCCGTCTCCCCCATCCCCTCCGGCCAGTCGCACTGCCCCAGACCTCCTTGATCTCCCACAGCCAGCCATGCTGCCCCTGACCTCTCCTATCTCTCCCGGCCAGTTGCGCTGCCCCGCGGCTGGCTGGGGGAGAGAGGGGAGGTCGGGGGAGGGCGGGGGGCAGCGCAGCTCCCCATGAAGCAGCCGAGCGTCTGTATATATTTGCATGTATATGCAACCACACTTAAGTTGTGGCCCCCAAGGCTTCCAAAGTTGAGTAGCTCTGCTCTAGAATGTGAGGATTTGAGTGCGTTAGAGAGTTGGGATGGGAATGAGGGAAGGAGGAGTGTCTGTCACTATGTTATGCACATAAAACACAGCAATGGAAGGGTCTGACATTAAAAAAATGGGAGAAGCAGCCATTGTAATTAGGCAGGATCAAAAGAGAATGGAATCATTTTACTACCCATCCCCATCATGGCCTTGACTTAAATGTCCATTATGACAAGGACATAACTCCTTGTGGTAGCTGCAGCTAACAGTAACTTTTACTAACTATAGATTAAATTTTATCCAAACTGTACCTCTGAAGCCAGCTCTGCGAATTAAGGTTAGTGTTTGGCCAAAAGTATTAGGAACCAAGTTTTGCTACAGGATTCGTTTCCCTCAGGCTCCTTGTAGGGCAGTATAAAAGAGTTGCCCACTATTGCAATTTTACCACATCTTACAATTAGAGCTTGGAAGGGGGTAGGGCTGGGAGGGGTTACTCACTTCCCCAGTGGAAAAATCGCAACAAACCCAAAAATTGTTTTCATCTAAATCTTCAATAGACTATTGATAATTTAGCAGAAATACAGGAACAAACATTCCAGCTAAAATCCAAAACATTTCAGTTTGGTGCTTCATTTTCAATAAGTGAGGTACCTGGTCAAACTACCTCTTTCATGATATAACAGAGCCTCCTCCCTTGGAGAGGGAGGGCTGCGCACCATGGAAGATGCATCTCCACAGAACAGCAGGTGAGAAGGCAGAACTACAACTCCCACGAGGCACTGCGGCAGTACTTCCAAATATTAGTTTTTTCACGTCTCCAGGGGTCATTTAATTTTTCCCCGCAAGGCCAACACTTTTTGCAAATAAAACCTCAAAAAACCACCAACCCCCAACAACAACAAAATCCAAAGCATAACTCTTCCCCAAATAAAACCACACTTAGTAAGAAAGGTTAAAAAATCTCCACTGAAAACGTTTTTGCCTAATATATTCACCAGCCTTACTCGGACGGTGAGAAATAGGCAACACCCTAACACAGATGATGCCCACCCTGTCCAATGGCATCCATTGGGGCACAGCCAATCAGAAGACAATTGCCAGGGGGAGGGGTGAGATAGCGCCTACAGCCTGACCTTACAAAGCATATTGTCTCTTGCCAAGCTGCCAGTAGCTCACTAGCTGCGCATGCGCTTCCTGAGGTCCTGCTCACCCTCCGCTTTGTGCTGTTACGGTCGAGAAGCGCATGCGCATTCTGGCCGAAACGCTTATCAGTATAATTTTGATTCCCCTACCTCCGTTTTTTTCTGTCTCGCTTATATTCTCCCGAGGCCGAGACGGAATTAGAAATGATAAGGTTTTCTTTAAAAAAAAAATCAAAATCAGACTTGACCTTTCAACTGCCGGAAGGTCAAAGGTTGCCGACAAAATGGCGGCCGTGGCTGCTGGAGGGCTTACTGGCGGAGTGGATCCGGTGAACGCTGGGACTGCGTTGCATTGAGGGGCCGAGCTCCTGTGTTCACGACTTAGCACCTAGCCGCCCTTGTTGCCCCTGAGAGACGCTGCTGGACGGCAGCGGGCGCCC